GATTCAAACTGCTGAATTGCCGATCTTTCTGATTGACAAGCTCTGTGTCTTAGTCACTGAACCACCATGTCCCTTTTGGCAAATATAGGCAGTGGTAAATATTGGTAGTCAGAGAAGCTGGTGAGGCTGACTGGCATACAGGTATCTTTCTGTTCTGAATATATTAGGCAACAGCATAGGAAGATTGACAGTAGTTATTTCCAATTCTTAAGCAGAATGCCTGTACAAAAAGGCCCATCCATAGATTAAGCAAATAACAGATAACAGATAATCAGAGTTGGAAGGGACCTTGTAGGTCATCTAGTCCAACCCCCCCGCCCAAGCGGGAGACCCTACACCATTTCTGACAAATGGCAGTCCAATCTCTTTTTGAAAGTCTCAAGTGGCTCTCCCACAACTTCCGAGGGCAAGCTGTTCCATTGCTTGATTGTTCTCACTGTCAGAAAGTTTCTCCTTATTTCCAGGTTAAATCTCTCCTTGTTTATTCCTTGTCTGGCCTACAGGTGCTTTAGAAAATAGCTTGACCCCTTCCTCTCTGTGGCAGCCCCTCAGATATTGAAAGACTACTATCAGGTCTCCCTGGTCTTTCTCTTTAGTAGACTAGCCAAGCCCAATTCCTGTGACCATTCTTGGTAAGTTTTAGTCTCCAGTCCCCTAATCATCCTGGTTGCTCTTCTCTGTACTTTTTCTAAAATCTCAACATCTTTTTTATAATGTGATGACCAAAACTGGATGCAGTACTCTAAGTGTGATCTTACTAAGATTTTATAGAGTGGTATTAGTACCTCCCTTGATCTTGACTGTATCCCTCTGTTAATACAACTTAGGGTTGCATTAGCTTTTTTGGCTGCTGCTGCACACCGCTGGCTCATATTTAGCTGGTTGTCCACTAAGACTCTCACAGTTACTGCTATTAAGCCTGGTTTCACCCAGTCTATATGTCACTTTTGTATTTTCTTGCCTAAGTGTAGGACTTTACTTTTTTCTACATTGAATTTTATTTTGTTGGATACGGCCGAGTGTGCTAGTCTGTCAAGATCCATCTGGATCTTGAGCCTATCTTCTTGGGTGTTAGCTATTCCTGCCAACTTAGTATCATCTGCAAATTTGGTAAGTTCCTCTTCTATTCCCTCATCTAAGTCGTTAATGAAGATATTGAAGAGTACTGGGCCTAAGACAGAACCTTGTGGCACCCCACTGCTTACTTCCCTCCATGTAGACTTAGACCTATTAAGGACTGCTCATTGAGTACGGTTTGTCAGCCAGTTGCGAATCCATCTAGTGGTGGTGCTATCTATTCTACTTTTTTCTAGCTTACTAAGAAGTAGGTTGTGGTCTACTTTGTCGAATGCCTTGCTGAAATCTAAATTTCCCAGAAGCCTCTTTCCCAGAAGGAGAAAGCATTTGAAGGAAAGGCTCATTCCTAATCTTGTCTCTGTTCTTTAAGCATTATGTATTGGGGCTTTGTTTTCCTTAAAAGCAGTAAGCATTTTAAGCAAAGTTCAATTTTGACTTGTTTCCCTATTCTTAAAAGCAGTGAACCTTTGGCATAAGACCTATTGTTAGACCTGTACCTATTCACTCAGTGCTGAGATTAATATGTAGAAATTGTAACATTGGCACAAGTCTCACATGAGTTACTGTAATCCTTATGGCCAAATTTAAACAGATGATAGTGAAAGTGATATTTGAGACATATACCAAACCATTATGGTGCCTATACTGTCAGAACTGCAAATGTGTACCCCAAAATTCCATTTAAATCAGGTATCAATTGTCAGTGGAATTAAGATATGCTATTACTCACATTATGTGCATAACCTGGGTTATCCCAACAGCTAACTTTAAAGAACACCAGCTACATTGTCACTTCATAAGAATACACAAATGATAGGCTGTTGAAATATTGAGTGCCATCCTGATCACCCATTTACAGGTAATGCTGGTTAGTAAGACCTTCAGATACTCCTGACTGATCCTGAGTTGCAATAGATAAAGAACACAAAGTAGGGATCATTTCCTGCCTTCACAAAGTGACCCCATGCAATTCCATTTCCTCATTTCTTGAGTTAGTCCGAAGCCTACAATTTTGTTGCCACACCAAACCAAAGGTTCAGTGGAAGAAGTCATGCACTACCCCTTAATTGAGGAGACCTTGGAGAGAAGTGTATATGTGCATGCTGTGCATGTCTGCATCCCTATGTTATTCTTGGCATTTGCTAGTTCTTGCCATTTTCTTGGCAATATTTTCAGAAGTGATTTGCCATTGCCTCCTTCTAGAGCTGAGAGAGACGCTGAGAAAGACTGGCCCAAGATCACCCAACTGGCTTCATACCAGGCAGGACTAGTACTCCAATAAAGAAAAATATTTGTAGCTCAGGGCTGAAATGAGGGTTCCTTGGTGCTCTCTGAGCTTGGTTGTTTTTTTGCAGATATTTTATTACCCAAACTAGGTAACACTATCAGTGCTTCTAATGCTACTGATAATGTTACTAGTTTGGGAAATGAACTGTCTGCAAGAAAACAACCCAGCTCAGAGAATACCAAGGATCCCTCAGTTCTAGTATTCACAATCTCTTGTTTCTAATCCAATGCCTTAACCACATAGCAGACTGGCTCTGAAGAAGACTATAAATACCATGATGTTTTTCTCCAGAATATCAGCAATTTAAACAAAAAAAGGAGCATGAAGGGGAATAAAAGATGCAATTGAGTGACTGAAACAAGTGCAGAAAGACTGAACATGGAACTTAAAAGCAGGCATTAATATTCTATAGAGAAGACTTATAATGTTTAGATAAGAATAAAAGTACATGGGTATGAAGAAAGGGAAAGAAAATCACCCTCAAGGGCAGAAGGAAATAAGAGTGGAATAGTCTTGCTTGCACAAAGAACAGCAACATGTCCCTTCATGAATATTTTGATAGGCAAAAGCTGACAAATTCTCCTCATATTGTTAGCAGTGGATTGTACCACTTAGCCCCTCTCAGTTGCCCATAGGACCAGGGGTGGGATTCAAAATTTTTAACAACCGGTTCTGTGGGCGTGGCTTAGGTGATGGGTGTGGCTTGGTGGTCATGTTATTGGCCAACTCAATATCACTCACATTGAGGCATGCATCTCCTCGCCTGGAATTTCATGAATGTGGGGATGCTGCAACAGTCGTAAATGTGAAAAATGGTCATAAATCACTTTTTTCAGTGCCATTGTAACTTTGAATGGTCACTCCACACGAACAAAGTACCAGCAAAAGAGGGGAAAAAACTCCAGAGAAGTTCTTGAGACAGGAAGTCTGGTCCTGCCAAGAATGTAATAAGAGTTAACGGAGAGGCAGTTTCTGTAAGCAATACCAGAATGTTTCCTTCCTGCCTTCCTTACAGGATTAGGCCAGTAATTTCTTCTAATAGCCGGTTCTCCGAACTGCTTAGAATGTTAACAACTGGTTCTAGAGAATAGGTGCAAATTGGTAGAATCCCACCCTGCGTAGGACAAATGCAAAAAGTCAGTTGAAGCAGCAATCATTGTAGGATATAAGAAGTACCATCAGCATAATTTAATTTGGATGCAAGCTTTAGATAGTCAAATGTAGAAAATATTCAGGAAAACCATTTGGACACCAGCTATTGAAACAAAAAGGATTCTGGGAAAAAGAAACCAGTAACTAACCTGAGTGCAAGTAACTTCCATTCTTACTACATTTTCTCCTTTACTGTAAATTTTGACCTGGCATTTTGTGATATTGTATCAATGCAACAGAGTTAGGAAGGATCATAAAATGAAAGAGGTTAACTGTTATATATTCCATGTTTTACTTTTAGGCAAGCAAACTTGAGGAAAGTGACAGAAAAGTGGTTAAAGAAAGGAGTGTATTTACTCCAGTATATTCCAGATACTGAATATTTCATTTGTCTTACATATAAATCCTCCATAGCAATATAAACATTACTAAAGATGTCTTACACATTTTAATGATGATTTCGGAGCCAAAATATTAGTTCAGGGTACCATGAATTATTATGTAAATATCAGATTAAGAAAATATAAAAGAAGAACTCATGCTGAACCTACTACAAATGTTGCAACTACACAGCTTTTTGTAATGGAGGTAGTTTTATCAAACAGTTACTTTACAAGCCTTGATGTAAACATGTGTTAGTTACCCCACAGTGTGGCTGCTGTACCATGGTAGACTAATTTTCTTTTGAGATATTTTTTTATTAACTGTAATAAAATTTGTGTTTTAATGTCTCAGACAACGATTTGAGGATAAAGTTATGCGTGTCTAAAACCCCAGAGAAATGTATGCCATGATGTGCTTCAAGAACTCTAAATAAGTGCTAGGATAATCAATGAGCGGAAGCAGACATACCACAAGTTTCCCACTAAACAGTAGTTGCTCACAATCCAGAGATAAGTACTTCAGGCACAGACAGATGTCCTTAATGCTCTACCTGTGAGCAAATCAAGACTTGGATGTCACTGTTTACTAAGCAATTATGCATGGAGCAAGTTACATGTCTTAAATATACATGTTTTCTTATGTTAAAGTGTTTTCCACATAGGGAACCAAAGCTACTAGCCTTTGTAGTCATAGTCAGCTCATATATGCCCAACCTGAACCCATATTTCTTCATGATTTCAAAATGGCACTAGTGAGGAACTAAAAACTTTGTTTTCATTTTTAATAGAGAACTCTGTACATATTTACTCATAAGGAAATTTCTCTTACAGGGCTACTCTCATAGTGTTAGCATAAAAAAATACTATATTAAAATTTTGTGTAGGATACCTATAGGATCATTGGTTCATCTGACTAATATGTTCAACACTGGCAGGCAGAAGTTTTCAGGTTCTAAAACATTTTTTACTTTAGCTGCCTAAACAGAGAATAAAGGATTTTCTAAATGTTATCTACTGCATCACATTTGTTTCCTATTGTTCTTTCCTTACCATGTTAATTTCTATTGCATCTAAATTGTCTTTGTTTTATGATATTTCAGGTTCACAATGAAGAATAAACATACTTTCCTTGAATAACTGATGGTTGGAATAGTGTTCACAAAGAGCACTCATCAATACTGAAGCAGAAAAAAACTGATTTTTAATTAATAAAAATCAACCTCTATACTGCTATTGTCCTTGCTCTATTATAAAAATACATTTTTCAAGGTTTGACGTAAAAATGTTTCATTCTGTTCATTATTTTGCATGTTGAAATTCATTTAAAATATTGGAGAAAAGGGGCACACTTCAGTAGAGAATGTATTTTGAGTAATCCCTGCTGAAACTAATGGAAATTGCTCAGCAGCTGTGCTTTCTTTCAAGTTCTTGCCTCTTTACTAGCCTGATGAATCACATCACCAATTATGAACAAACCAGAGGTGCTCACATAGCTTAAGGTCATGGTGATTAAAAGCAAAAAAATGTTTCAGAAAGTAGTAAAGCAAATTAAATTATCCTGAATCAAGCCTTAGTGTTTTGGTAAGGTAAATATTTCAAGGATAATCATGCATAAAGATAGATTCCACAAAAAGAATGATTAAAGCGCAACCTTAAGTAATGTTCGATTGCATAAATGACCCCAAGAACTACAGTAGTTAAAATATGTTCCAATATTGTATCCCAGCGGAACATATCTTCAGGTTTATCCTTAACATTTTGTTCAGCGGAGCTTTAGAGCTTATTTGACTGGTAATAAATAAACCAGTAACTAGAAGGAAATTGCTCATCAGTGTTACTAATTTTATCATATGAGAAAGGGCTAGGTATTTCTTCCTTTCATGTCACTTCAGTTAAGAACTTTGAATGGAAAGGGAAATAATTTGGGATTGTAGTCACATATGCAGGTCCTTCTTACAATACACGTGGATATTACAAATAGGCTACTATTATAATTTCTTGTTCTGGAAGGTTGCGGACCTTATTACTCTTAATTTTGTTACATCATCATTTGTATCTTTTTCAAATTTAATAATAACCCAACTTTCTATTTCCTTGCCTCGTTCCACCAACACCATTAAACCAAGGAATCACTAATAATTAATGGGTTTGGGCTGCAACAAACATGGTAACTGTATTAAAAATCATTATTTGGGAAATATAGTGTTTTTATTTGTTTTGTGCAAAAATATATATGATATTTCATGAACTCTTGGATGTTACTGAAAAACTATCAAATTATCAGCCCTTCCTCTTTGACCAGCAAATTGTAGTCGATTGGAAATAAAAGAAGCAGGGGAGCTCTGGAACATTTGATTCAGATTTTTAATTCTCAAACATTTGCCCTGTACTACAAGTCATTCGTTTATCATTTTTTTGATTACCTCAAAAAACATCCCATGGAATAACAAAACCATAAGCATTCCTTGCAAGCCAAATGTAATTTTAGTAAGAGATAAAAGCAACAACAAAAGGAACTCCCAAGCTGCACAAATGCCAACAGAGATAAAAAGAAAACCCATAAAACCCATAATGGGGAAGAATATTCACAAGTGAATCAGGAATGCACAAGTACATCAGCAAACTTTGGCTTCCTTCTTCATCTATGCCAGGCACAAAGGTGGGGCTTCTAATTAGACTCTGTCAGGCTGAAAGAGATTAGTTACTTCCATAAACCAAGAATTTTTCAGAACAAAGAATTTGCTCTTTTCACCACGGTTGATCAAGATATCAGTAGAACTTTTATAAGGCAAGCTAGGGGCCTTGCACAACAATACATTCCCATAGTTCTCATGGGAATTATGAATGCAAGTAGCAGTTATGAATACAAGAGGCATCCGGAGCTAAAACCTCATTCTGTCTTGAGGACTGAGCATAAAAAATGCCACCTTAATTTTAAATATCCAAATACCTCTCATACAATAATGGCTATAATAGTTATTGGCGTTCCCTTAAGCTCATGTTAATCACTGCTGTTCTTATTGTATCGTTGTATCTTATTGTATCATTGTTACATTATTAACCATATTTCACCATTTTAAAAAAATGTGAAAAGGGGTGCTCCAAAATACATTGTTATGACAATAATTGGAATCCCTCTGCCCGTACACGTGAAGGACCCATCATGACTTGAAGCATCATATGCTACTTAGGATACATAGTGTTCAGGGAGCTGGCTGGTTGGAACCGGCCTAGCTTCTGTTGAGTCCTTGTGGTAGTTGAAATCTTTTTTAGGTTTTAGGATTATGGCTTTCTCTTTAGTCTTGACGTTTATTTACTTTTGGAATATATAAGATTATTTTAATTATAGTATAAGAATTAGGTGTTCTGTCCACTTTAGAGTCATCATCAGTTGCAATGCTTGCATAGAAACATGTCTGTATTCCCACAACACAAGTGATTAGAAAAAGTTAGTTGAACCTGTATATGATGTGTTTGGGAGTATTTTTAATTCTGCCAAGGTTATTTGAAAGTACACTAATCTCTTGTTGGTGTTCTCAGATTCAAGTCCTTCCCTGGCCCAGATAAATATGATGTAAGAACAGAACTTGTTAGTGAATTCTGAATACAATAAATGACAAAAGTATACCCCTGTCACAGAGTTTTATTTTTCTTAACTGAACTATAGCAAAATCTATTTGCTACAAAGAATGGCATTTTTCATTATCCTGACTTTGTATTAAGACACGCACTATAATATTAGCTTCAGCATTTTAGCGGTACTTTTTCACTCAAAGTTATACCCTTCACATTGACAACATTGTCACACAATGGCAAAGATTTCAATGCTTTATTCATAGTAATTGACAGAGTAATTAAAGTTTTAAGGAGTGAAAGTGTTCTCAATACTTCTAAAAAGACTAGGAAAAGATGAGCATCTCATCTCCATTTTTTAGCTGAGCTTATGCCAACCTTCTTAATACAAAAAGAGTTTTTGATAGAATTAATTCAAACTTTGGATCTGTAATAATTTTAAATTTCTTCATTACAATTTACCTAGCTGGGGTTCATAGAACAAAAGCTGCATACATTGTTCTGCTGCTAGCCAGAAATTCTACAAAAAGAAGACCTGCTGTTAGGATCAGTATAAAAGGACCCTATGTTCAACTTAATGAATGTCTCAGAACTCCCACATTGGAAAAGAATGAGTTGAATTATATGGTTCTGTATGACTGATTGACATATTGCACTAAGTCATCAAATGTGCTTTACGAATCACAATGGATGGGTGCATATGGTACTCTGTGCCAAATCTCAATAAAACCTCATGATGCATGATGCCACTCAAAGCTAACAAAAATATCTATTTCTTTCTGGTGTTTTGAAAACATAAAATATTGGTCTGGTAGAAAAGAAATACAAAACCAGTACTTGAACATATATTTTAAAGAACAAGTAATATAGTGCAACAAATGTTTAAAATTTAAGAAATAGCAGTTTCCCCAGGTGTTTTTACTACTTATCATTAAATATACAATTTCAGGCTTTTCATTGATTTTTAAAGATAGAACAATATTGGACCAAAAAGAACTAGATTCAGATATATATTTAGCCGGTATCACCACTTGCATCCATATCAGTTGCTTCTGCTTTCATACTAATCTATCTCAGAGAGGAATTGAGCATACTACCATGAGACTGTTGGAGGAAAGATGACATATAAACATACAAACAAACAATGTTTGAAAATTGACTGGTCAATTTTGTGTTCGGGGGAAAGTAATGTAAAATTTAAGTGTTTGATTATTATTAATTTGTTTAGGTGCCTCAAAAAGATATATTTCACAGGAATTGGCAGAGCTAATATAAATATTATACTTAGATTCATATAATAAGTACAGTGTAAATATGCTTGGTGGAATGAAGAAAGAAAGAGGCTATAAAGAAAAACGTATATAAGAGAGTAAGAGCAGCAAAGCCTGAGGAGTAGAGAGACGTATTATATAATATGTATAGTCGGGGTGGGGGGGAGAATGTGGAAAGAATGTGGCCACAACAAGGTTTTGCTTTGCTTAATTTATATTTGAGAATGCTATATAAGCTACAGCAGATTCGCACAGGTGTTTTCCTTGTGTATTTTGTTTTATGCTGGCCATTAAATGTAATATATATTTATTCTGTATTGTTTTGATTTTTTGTTTGATGTTTTTATGATGAGTCACTGGTTGATATGGGCCGCTAGAGAAATTACATAAATGAAACAAATAAAGTAAACTAAGTTAAAAAAAGAAAAGAAAAAGAAAATGCAAAGCTATTTTGATGGGTTTTTAAAAAAATAGTTTTAAAAGATGTTGAAGAACATTTAGGGAAGACTGTCAGCAGAAGGAACATAATTAAGAAAGTAATGAACTGGTTTGCTATTAAAATGGACTGGTGGACAACTAAAAAAATATTTAGAGATTATTACAGGGATTATAGTCCTATGTCAAAGGTAGGAACTGAAGTTGTAATAACTGTTAGTCATCAAGAAAAACAGCCAAAAAGGAAGTGAAATGCTGTTGAAAAATGTTAAACTGAAAACAGTTAAGATATGAGTGTATTTTGACTACAAAGGGTCTATTTGACTTCTTCATTGAGTGTGTGAAGATTGTAATTAAAGATGCTGCTATTGTTCCTTATACAAAGAAAAATGTAATTCTGGAACACAAAAATTACTGAGGTATTAGTTTGTTATGTGTCTGGAAAACTGTTGGATATAATCCTTCCTAAAATGGTTCAAAAGGAGAAAATGAGCAAAATTTGGGAAATGAAATATTATTTTATGCAAGACAGAAGAGCATGTACCAGAATGTTCCTTTTTAGCAGATCACTAAAAATAGTTGATCATGAGAAAATAAGATATTTTGTTGTTGATTTAGAGAATCAGAAGGTTTGAATTATAGTACATTTTGCATGAACATGGTATTGGGGTTGGTTCTGGATTGTGATAAATGAAAACAAATCTGAGAATAAATGGAAAAATTAGCAAATGGCTTATCACCAAACAGGGAATAAGACAAGGATGCACAATGTCACTTGATCACTTAATGTATTTATAGATCAACGTATAATATATGGTTATAACAATATAATAATAATAATAATAAAAGACTCAAGGTCCATCCCACCTCTAAAAGAACCAAATGGTAAAGACTACA